CCCGAAATTCATGTTAAAATATGCTACAAATTACTTCATTTATGAAAGTGCTTTTTTTAATTAGAAAAGTTTTTAGAGAAAGTTGGTCTAATCCGACTTCCTCTAAAAGTAATTTCGAATTAGGAAACTCTTTTAGAAATTTATTTTCAAATAAAAATTAAGAAATTTTTTTCATAAAACAAAGCAAAAATCATGCCAAACAGACCCTAAAGACAGGATGTGATTTCGTTTCAAAGCATAAGTAAAATTCATTTAAATTTATCTCATATTTGGTGCAGATTAAAATCAAATTTTTAGTAGATTTTTACAAAAAATGATGAAATATATAGTTAAAAAGTTATGCATTCCTTAAAATATGTGGTTAAAATTAATTATTAACTTTCACTTAAAATTTTTAACAACTTTTAATCTCCACCAAACATTAACGTTAGTGTTAGTCATTGACACACTAAAATTTAAATTAGGGCTCCAAAATTAGGGTAGAATAGAGCAATCTCTAAATTTCAATACAATCAACTTCTTAGCTCATAGCTCATGTTTGATTTAGCTAAAAAACTTGAAAAATATTTAAGTCGGAGTCAATAATTAATCTTAATCTAGTATTTTATGAGCTCATAATTTTTTTCAACTTTTCAATCACACGCTTCATCACTTTCATCAATATACACTAAATATCTGATTTTTAATGAAAGTAACTATTCAAAACCGTGAATCCTTCATTTTCCGTAATATATAAAAACGTAACTATAATACATTAAAAAAATCCAAAAATGATTTATTGTAGCCAAATTTATGTGCTTGTCCTTTTATCAAATGAAAAATCCTTATTAGGCATGCCAATACTAATCTCGTGCTGCTCCTCAGGTGGCTGTGACAGGGGAGCCCGCCAAGACAAGCTCGTCTCGTGGTGCTGCTCAACCTCGTGTTCAATATAACCTAGCTCAATCTGGTGGAGGGAAGTCGAGGATCCTTCACCTTGATGGAAACGCGCAGGAGATGGCGATGGTGAACCATCGGTTTCCCATTGATCCATGTTAAAGTTCGATCTTCTGGGAGATGTTCGGAGACTGTCTATTTCGCCTTTGTAGTAGTGCAGGAGATGGATAGGGGAGGTTCCACGAGACGGTGTAGCCGGCCTGCTTGACATTGGTGTTGCCATGCCTAAATTCTTGCTTTGCTTGATGTGTTCTTTGGCTGTGTGGTGCCAGTTTTTTAGGGCTGTGGCCACTCTTTCGTTGAATATGGTTGGTTTCATCGTCGATCCCATCTGTTCAATTATGCTCACAAGATTTAGTACCGATGAAAATATTGAAAAAAATAACTACATATATCAAATATTTTTACTGTAAACTATTAAAACAAATTCATCTTAAAATGTCAATCTTATTAGAGTTGTCCAACACAAATATATTGGTTTATGCTTCGATAATTAATCAATGTAAGATTTATTCCTTAACATTTCGAGATGGTGGCTCATTCGAATTGACCAATCTTGAAATTCTTGTGATCGTTTGAGTTTTATTCTGATCAAATTGTTCGTTTGGGCTTAATGTGCCTAATACTATAATTAAGGTTTGAAATTTCATTTTAAAAAGTAACATTTTTTAAGAGAAGTAGCTTAGCCCTTTTATGTTTATGAATATTTCAATGATTAACCAATGTGAGTTTTACTACTTAACATAAATATCACACTTACCTGAGTAACAAGGGCATAAAGTGGGAGTGTTACGTAGCTGCACAGAATCTGTATGAGAACCCTATTGATGAAATTAATTACGAGAATTAATTAAACTATAATTGAATAATATTAATAGAAAAAATAAAGTAAATAATAAAAAGAATGAAGTAATATGTACGTAAATGAGGCTCACCCCATTGATATTCTGATGACTATATCCTCCACACGTTCATGGAAACAAGACCTCAATCCGAATTCAAACCAAGTCCAGGCAAAGAATGCCAATTGAAATGCATTCTACAATGGTGAAAGAGTTTAATTATAAGTAAATAAGTAAATTTTGAAAATATTTATTTACTTATTTTTAAAGTAGCTGTTAAAAAAGTAAGGATTTATTCTCTTTGCTATTTTCAGTTTTCGAAAATACCGAAAATATGTTTACTTATCTATTTTCATAAACGAATTTAAAATTTACAAAGAAAACGGAAAACGTAAAAAATGTCGTTTTGACAGTTTTCAGTTAAAATCAAGTCAAAACTTCAGTTTTTATTTTTGAAAACAATTTTTCAAATTGACAAAAAGAACGTGTTCTCAACAATTTCAAAATAGACACTCAAAACATAAAACTTAAAATGAATTCAAAACTTAAAACTGAAACACGATGAGAACCGCCCCTAACTCATTCATAAGGAATAAAAATGTATCTAAATATGTTTGAAAATAAAACTTTGACTAAATTATAAGCTTAGTCCAACATGCTATTAGTGCATTTTCTTTAGATGGACTGCATGCCATGATTTTCATGTTCAAGAACTGCGAGTTTTTTGAATAGTAGGTCAGTTTTAAGGAAAAAAGGAAACGAAAAACTTGGTATGAGAGAAAATGACGTACTTGAAATAGGACGAAATTGATAAGGAATAGAATGAGTCGTGGACGATTGAACCAGAAGAGATCATCCCCGGGTTGAACCACAGGCACGCCTTTAACAACTTCTCCTCTCTCTTGAAATCTCAGCCCCATTTTAGTTATTATCACTTGTAGTTTGGTCCCTACCAGCAAGATTATCTGCAGTTTCATTCAAGTAATTTTCAGATATATCAATTGATTAAAGAAATGTAAAAGGTCAACTTAAGGGCATGTATTTGGGAATTTTTTACTCACAATCAATGGGATAAAGGGTAGCCATAGATAGGAATACCAGCCTGTCCACAGAGAACATCTCAGATAAATAATCAAACCAAGAAATAATATTTAAAATCTCTTCTATTGTCCTTTGCGTTGTTGGCTCGTCGAACATAAGATACATTGTCTAGACTAATAGTCAATACTCGATATAAATAAATAATTTACAGACTCACCATGTGTATTGAAGAGCAAGAAGACCACAGCCAAGAACCAGATTGGAGGACTGGAAAAAGCAAAAAGGAGTGTATTTATTTACCATAGAAAACCCGTAAAACATAGACAAAGAAAGTGAAAATATGGAGTACCAACCTAATTCCGACTACTACATTGAAGTCCTCTTCCAACGATCTTTTTATATACTTCTGAAAATCAAATTTGTTGTGACTTTGAGGTGCTAAGTGAGCCTGAAACGATAGATACACGAGTTGAAAAAAGTGAGTAGTGTTACAATCCAGTGTAAATACTTTTTGTTGGACGTGAAATATAAAAATAATTACCATGATAAATCCGTGTCGTAGGGTCAAATAATCAACTTTTGGTACAGACCTAAAAAATTGCCTGAAAAAGCTAACCTGCAAAGAAAGAAATGGATGAATCGAACGTCACAGCTGCATTAAAGTTACGAAATTTACGTTCTTCTGAACATTAAAAGTGATAGATAATCTAATAAATTCCGAGGACACGAGAACAAGATTCATGCTATTCCCTTCTTGTTCCTGAATTCTCTAGTTGAAAATCTATATAATCAAGATCTAGTACACATGAAATTATTTGAAAATAGTACTTTTATATCTATAGAATTGATAATCTTCGGTAAGATAATAACAGGGTTTCCTATATAAAAATTGATATACTAAAAAAAATTTAGTAAGATAATAGTTGCTTTTATTTTCGACCTTTATTAATTGTCTCCGGAGAAGGTAAAAGGAAGGTGTAAATGGACTTATTTGACCCTTGTATTTTTATGTAAGCAAAAAAAATTACAAATACAAAAATATGACAAAATATTTGTCTCTCATTTCAAAGTACACTAACAAAATATTTGGACAAACCATCATCAGAGACCATATGTTCTAATTAATAGAATATAGAAACAAAAATGTAACAAAAAATTTGGAGACAATAAACCAAATTGAGGAATTTAATGAAATTAAAAAGTGTTGTCAATCTATCAATACTTCTTTTACCGAAAACAGCAATTTTGTGAATTAAAGCACCGTATGTTTAAACTATTTATGGAGTCGGGATTTGGCATTAACCTCTATCAGTTTATTACATAAAAGTTATCAAATCAAGCCCAGAGATTTAGCCTATGTTTGGCTAAGCTACAAATTAGATTTTCAGTAGATATTGATCGAAGTTGATGAAATATATGATTGAAAAGTTGATAAAAGTTGTAAATATCATGAACTGTACAATAAAAAATGAGTTTGAGCTACAAATACAGGAGGCTTGAAGGAGACAATCTCACTGTATATAACTTTGTTAACCCCCTCCCCCGCCCCCGCCCAAACACCAATTCTTGTTAGTTCAATTTTAAATTCGTAACCAAGAAAGTACTTACAATCCAAAGTAGAACTGGGGTTTCGCTCCAGAAGCTCATATGCCTTCTTCCAAATGATGTTTCTCTAGCGAACCTGAATCTCTCGGGGTCTGTCAAGTGTAGTCGTGTCATTTCAATTAGAAACATTTCTACCTCGTCAATACATATGGTATACCTAATCTTTTATATCTTATAATATGTTCTTTTACTCGAGTAATCGAGTTTTAGTTTGGTTACCGTGTGAATACTGGTACTCGAGGGTTCTTGTTTCCTTTTCCCATGCTTTCCATTTTCTCATCTGAAATAGTTATTAAGTCGTCAAGAATTAATGTAAAATTGTACGTATGCAGAGAGATGGAAGATTAAAATGTTTATACCTTGAGTCTTCCCAAAGCCAAAGTGAGTATACAATAGAGGACATGAGAAACAGCCAAAACAAAGATGAAAATATGTAGCTGATGTATGGCGTACGTTGACATAAACGGGACTTTTCCCTGAAGAGTTGTTGTCAATTTTCACGTCAGTTACCTAGCGAATTTTCAAGTGTTTATTTGGAATTATTCGAAATGGGTAATTGACTCAAAGTAAACAAAGTCATGCCTTCTCTGCACATTTGTCTGTTCCTCCACCAGCCAGCACCCGTCTAATGCTGCCATTACCACCTGCGCCGCCAAACATCAGAAGTTTCCGGCGAGATTCATCTTCAATTTTATGAGTCTTTTTGTAGCTATCAGCCTCTTCTTTTTTACTGCATGGGTGCCACGTGTCTCCAATTTTCTTCGATATACATGCATTAGAAATTGTATCTTGTCCTACTGTTAGCAGCAAGGATATAAATCCCAGCAGCATCAACTCTTAATCCACCAAAAAATTAAAAAACAAAATTATCACCGAATTTTTCAATGATCAAATCGGGGAAAAAAAAGTAGTGGCCAAAAGTTTGTTCATGTACCAGTTTTGATCTTTTCAAGTGATTCATATAGAGCCCTTTTATGTTTCTTCTTCAACCACTGCAAGTATTTAAAAATTTGATTGTTTTAGCAAAAAACTTATAGTTTCTAGATGATGAAATTAGACAATGCATGCATACCTTTCCAATAAGATGGATAATATGCTCGATGACTATTGAAACAGCAACCAGAACAAAACAGACTACGGCAACAGCCCAAGTCGGTGTTTCCTCCAACGATCTTTCTCCGCTTCCCCCGGCCATTTTCGAAGTTTCTCAGACTCTAAAACACTCGAAAATTCAGTCTCCAATCTTGCAAAAAGAACAGTACATTTGGAAGGTATAAAATCTTAGAAACTTTCTTTCAAATTTATCGAGTATTATACAGTTAACAGTTCTTAAACTCTATATATATAAATATATGTATGTATTAGCAACCGTGTATCAAGGAAAGAAGGTTATAAGGGAGAAGTGTACTCATGACTTTGACCGTATAAACGCGTAAAGGAATTGGTATTTGTCGACGTTCTCATACTATTCAAAAACGAACAGATTTATTCGTTGAATTTTATAATATTTTTAATGTTTGGAGTTCCTACAATAAATCGTTGTCACTCCCCTAGTCAAACCCATAATTGTTGGAGAAATTCTATTCATTCCCAGTAGGAATGTATCCCCAGTCTGTGTGGATATAAATGATTGGTTAAATGATAGGTGAAATTAAATGACTTATTTAATTTCACATATCATTTAATGTCACATAAACGCCACCTAAACTGGGGATGCATCCTCACTGGGGATGAATAGCATTTTTCTAAGGGATATTTTCAAGAATGTCCAACTTTACGAGTGTCAATTGGAAAATGTCATTTTCTTATAATTCTTGCAAAAATGGCCAAATTTGATACCAAATTGTCTATTTTACCCTTAATGAAATGATTATTCTATTTGTATTTTTTTCCCAATTTGACACAAATTTCAAGGAGAGCAAGTGGCTTCCATGAGAAGCAACCATACTTGTAGCTATTATCAAGTGGCTTCCATGAGAAACCACCATACTTGTAGTGAATCCCGTAATGTCATTCTCGACATTTTATAAACGTCGAGAATGATAGTTTAAATGTAATTCTAGAAATTTAAAATATCGAGAATAACATTAAACACTAAACAAATTTAGGGAACATTTTGGGTACATCATCTTCGTTTTGGTAACGGGTACGAAAGAAGCCATGAATGACTCGTTTTCATAAGTCACAAGACATACAAAATGGTAATCACAAAAAAATCATGTCATAACTGTCTGTATGTTGTAGGTGAATACATATACAAAATGGAGATCACCACAAAAAACTACTCATTACCCCATATGGATTTTTATGTCACTAGATATACTTCAACATTTCACGTGCGACAATTGCATTTTCTACATATCCTCCACAATGGACAAAGAGGACATCTCGCTGTCATCCTCGTCGTCTGAGCTTATTATGATCACATCTTCATTTCTTGCGGGAATCGCTCCGACATTATCATTAAACAATACGTGGTGTGCTTCCGGTGGGACTTCTACTGGGACGATCGTACGATCGACAATATGATCACCCCACTCCAACTTCGACCGGCTCAATTTCTTCGTTTAGATCCGAAAATGAAATGGGATGAAGGCTTACTCTACAACGACGATTCCCCGGTTGAGGAACATATGGAAAAAAAATATTGACATCTTCATCATCTTCCAAGTCGATGACGATCGGGTTGTCCGCGGACGACCCAGGCGGGGTGAAGTTAACAAATTCGGTGGATGAAGACATAAATTGTGGTAAAAACTTGTTAATGCTAGTACTTTCTTATTAAAGCCAAGACCAATATTATATAATGGATGAATACGTCTTGTTCAATGCACGAGAAATTAATCACACCAACTTCCACCTATTTCCATTTACATTTGATTGACATTTCTTTCATATCAGTGTACACTATGTACTTGTGGTATGAGAGATTTCTTGGGTGGATGAACACATAATCAATTTAAGGAAGAACTAGTTAATAATTGTCATTTCATATTTAAGCAAATGCAAATGTTTTATAGTTAATGAGCACGTGTTCTTCAATTCATCAAGAATGAATCACACCAACTCCTACCAATTTTTATTTGCATTTAATTGACACTTCATTCACATCATTGGGTTTATAATGTCTAGTTGTAGTATGATGAGTTTCTTTGGTTGTTGAAAACACAATGGATTTAAGGAAGTTGTTAATGGTAGTAATTTCATAATAAAGCACTGTTAATTGTTGTATGGTTAAATGACGTGTTTTCCAATTTTTTTTTCTCGACATTTCATGCATTTCTCGACACTTGAAATGTTATCGTCATTTGTATTCGAAACAGGAAATTTCTCTACATTTCATACAATTTTCTCGACATTTCATCTGTCGTTCTAAACATTAAATACTTGTCAATCTCGACACTTGACATTTCAACTGTCAGGAACGACAGTTCGTGAATGTACATTTGAGGAAAACCGTCTCTAGGTCGCTACAAGTAATTCGGTCTCTATTGGTAAACAGTTTGTCCCGTAGTCGACATTTCTCAATTATTT